TGGGTTTTTAAAAAAAAAATAGCTACACAAGGCAAATAGAAATACTGGGCCAAATTTTCAAATTCAGGTGCCTGAAGTAAGTCACTGAAACCTGTAGTTAGGTGTTGAACAAAGCTCTGATCCTCAGACTTCTCCATGCCGGAGGACAAAGCCTGCAGGGAGGCTCTTTGAGGGTGGAAGGTTCTACTCACAGCAAAGCGTTCACAGCACTGGAGCCTAAATTTTTCTGCAATGCCCAACGCTCCCCGCAGCTCCCTAATGTGAACGTTGGAGACATCACTTTAACAACAATGGGGAAGGGGGGAGAGATGTTCTCTAGCTACAGTCAGATGCTAGAAGATAAATTATCATGGTTTATGTGAATATTGACAGTGAATACGTGCTGCTCAGCTATTATAAATGTTTGAGAGAATACGATTTGCAGAGGTACCGAACCAATGAAACTTGAAATGTAGTGTTTCTAATTCCGCTTGTTAACTCATTAGCAAATGCAAGACATTAATACTGTCATTAAACATTTATCACTTCCTATAAATTCTCAGCCATTAAATGACAGCTAGATTTTTATACTTTGAGGTGAGACGTCCTCTTATTTATGGGCTTGTAACTCATTAGTTAACGAGAAACTCTTAATCTAAACCTCAGAACAGTTAAAGCAAGGAATTATGTCAAATTAACTCCCAATACATGTTTGATAACAAAAAGGAGCATATGGTATGAATGAGGAACATGACAATCCACTTGACATTGAATTATCAGCTATTAAATACCAGAGATAAACCTAAACCAAATCCATATACCTGAACAGTCAGAACTTTGAGGTGGGAGCATTCGGAGCTGCAAGGTGCTCAGCTCTTTGGAAAAACAGGCCACCTACTTAGATACTTAATGTGGATGAAGCCACCTAATTTTAAGCACTAACTTCTGAGAATCTTGACCTTAATATATATTAGACATCTCGGACCTCATAATGCTTTTACTGAAGTCAGTGGTAAAACTTCTATTGACTTCAATGGAAGGAAGATTGGCCCCTAGAAAGGGTCTTAAAATAATCATCAAAATTCAGGACCATCTCAAAACAGATGCTTATTGGAGTTAAGATGTGCACGTATCCACTCAGCCTTTGATAACATGTAAATCCATGAAGTACCCGATTTTTATGCTCAGAACATTTAGTATCTATTGAAGATGAACTAAAGTCTATATGGCAATTAAATCAGACTGCTTGATATTAATTATGTAACCAAGCATGCTAATTCACTGTTACCTGAATTGCCAAAAAAATTTTTTTAAAAATCAGAATGTGATGTAATTAACTGTGCCATGGATTATCAGCAGTAAAACAGGCCAGATGTGTGATGATTTGGGGATGGGAATATTCCTTTTTAGTGGAGCTGGTCTGAAAATGCAACTCCATTGTAATCGAAGTACTTCACAAAAGCATGTTGATTTTGCCAAAATTTCATTTACCAGAAAACAAACATAAAAAAAGTTACAGCAACATATCTTTGGAATGAAATGTTTCGATCTTTCATTTGAAACGGCTTCCTGTTTCAATTTTTAAAATTTCGTGTTATGTACAAGTTTTAAAAGTTGGATTGCATTGAAATTAAATGTTTTAATCATTCTGTGATGGGTTAACTACACATCGTGGAGATGTTTCCTTGAGGTTCATCTGCGGAATATTTCTCAGCTGGTCTGATGCCCCCTCCTTTGGTTGCTCACCATGATATATATGTGTGTGTGTGTGTGTGTGTGTCTCTCTCTCTTTCTGGAGTCAGTTGCTCTCTCTTCATAACTCAGTCCACCGACCTGGTCACTATTGTCCTCTTCTTGTGGGGTAACAAAGGCACACTGGACAAACTGTCTCAGGCAGGCTTCTGATTGGGCAGTCTATCTGTGCCACTTTCCTTGTGGCCATGAGGGGAACCCTGGCCTGCCCACTACTCCAGATTCCAGCCCAGAGACCCTATGCCCAGTAGCCACAGTCTGCTCAGTCTCTGGCCTTGCTACTGGTTCCCTGCACTCGTTTCTACCTTTCTTCCCTATCTTCTGGCTCTATCATGGGTTACCATTGGCGCTTCCTTTGCTCCATGTGGATACTTCACCCCTCTTCAGATGCTTGCCAGAATCTATAGTCCAAGGCAGGATCCCAGGGCTTATTCTCCTCACAGAATCATAGAATATTAGGGTTGGAAGAGACCATTTGAACTGTGCCCTCTTACTTCATCTGGAGCCGGATCTGGTCCTGGCTCTGTAGACAAGTGAGTCTGTAGGATATGAGAGCATAACTCTTCCTCTCTTTATAGGCCTATCCCAGCTCCTCCCATGGCTGGACTTCATCAAACATTAGGCCTTGTCAGTCCTTGGCTTCCCTCCAGGTACAGCCTGTTGCAGGGTTAATTGGACTATTTTGCCTGTTCAGCCCCTGTGTAGGGTGGACACCCCATCCCACATTTGGGGGGAAAGTATTCCTTTGTGCAGAATTTCTACATTATCAGGTTTTGTTCCAATTCAAAACAAAGCCAGATTTTGAAATATAAAAATCCCTCACAAAACAGGGATTCTACTTCTACTTTTTAGTTAAGTCAAAGCAGTAGACGCTATGTACTTTGTGAACCATGTCCTTTAATGAAGGGTAAACCTTCTGAACCAATAGCAGCAGTCAGCATCTGTTTTCTAGGCCCTGTTTCAGTAAAGCACGTCCCATAGACTTCAGTTAAACACACACTTAAGTGCTTTGCTGAAAACTGGGATGGACTTAAGGTCATACTTAAAATTCACCATGTACTTAAGTGCTTTCCCAAATCACCACCTTACTCAAGAAGGAGCAAAAACCTTGTGGCAAAAACATCTTAGGCAGAAAAAAGCCACTGCAATATCCATCTCAATTATTAGTTTATTGAATGTCACTCTTGTATCAAATTGTAGCAGGATTAACTCATGTAGGCCTGAAAGGTTTATACCATTAAACTAGGCACATTAATTTGAACATACAACCTCTGTGCTCTTCAAAAGTATCTCCCTTTGGTAATGTCATCTGCCTCTCGGCCTCACTGCCAGTAAATAATGCTGCTGCTGTACAACAAGCGCGCTCTCTTTCTTTTTGGACATGCATTGAATGATTTGGACATTCTCCGGTATAATAAATACAAAACAGGGTGAGAAACTGATGAAGCTCAGGGTATTTCTCACCTGAAATAGCTGTATGCCTAACACACATGTCACACCTTTGTTCACT